AGAGAGAGAGAGAGAGAGAGAGAGAGACTATTAGAATATTATTGTGGGTAGTACAATTATATTCATTCATAATTAGATATTAATAAATATTAGATTAAATAATTTTGCAAAATAATTAATTTTATTACAACTTAATACAGACTAATGTTTTCATTGCTAATTATCCATGTTAAATATAAAAGATCAATTACAATTTAATGTTTTCCAAACTTTAGGGAATTTCTCTTTAATCCAATTGTTTTTACTATTGGCACAATTAATAGTCGGATCTTCAATCGTATTGTTGGGGTTATCCGATAGAAAGTTTTCAAACGCCTCGCGTTTTAAATACACAACAGTGTTATCCTTTAGGGATAGACTGACTGTGCGTTTCATATCATCGAAAGCCCGGACGGCAAACGACTCGGCGTTCAACGAGTCGCCGATTGATAGGTCTAACCGTTCGGCCAATTGGCCGTTGCCAACAGTGAACGCCCGTTCGGCCACACTTTTGATTGGATTTTCATGAATAGTGAGCCAGGTTAATTTGGGCAAATCGTTAAACGCGTGGCTAGAGATTGTGCTCAATAGTGTATTTCTAAACACAAACACCATGCTCAATTGATGCAGACCCGATACGGCTTGCGAGGGCATCGTAGCGAGCTTGGTGTTTTCAATTTGAAGCGCTACCAACTTGTTTAGCGTACGAATGGCGCCGAATAGATCCCATTCCCCGTCCACTCGTTCGCTGACCGGCGACCCAAACAGTACCAGTGTTTCCAAGTAGTCGGCGGTGCCGTTGAACGCCTGCTTATGGATACGTTTCAACGCCTGGGCCGTGACATCAATTCGGTTGAATTGTATGCCAGCGAACGCGTTGGCCGGCAGTTCAGTGATAGCCTTGTTTTCCAACGATAATGACCCAAATTGTTTTTGATCCGCCGGTAGTCTAGCATTCAAGTCGCCCATAATTGCGTTTATGTTCATTTGTTCGGTTCCCCTGCATGTGATATAGCAATCATTGCCCACTTGACTAAACTTGCATGGTGCTTGAATCGATACGCTCGGACAGTTGGCACCCATACCGGTGTTAACCAATGCAAACAATGCCAATAGATGTACTGGATGTGAGTTGGGTTAAGTCATTAAACAAATTGTTAATAAAAAATAATAACATTTTACATGTAACCTAGTAATATAACCAGTTTTGCAAAGTAAAGCAATAACTTAAAATTGAGATACATGTAGGTAAAAATTTGTTAAGTTTAATTCGTCTAAGAATAAATTTGTTGAATACAATCATAGCGTTAACAAGTATAAGTCTATTTCATAGGATTAACATTACACCCATTGAAAAATATATGAGAGAAAAATGTCATAGACTTATAATAAGAATTGTAAAACTATAATCATTTTTATTCTAAATTGATGTTTAAAATATATACAAATATTTAATAATAATATAAAGTTACATACGTTTATAATTCATTGTTTTGTTGTATTTGTAACTTAATAAACGCAAACTTGTTTGTAGTTTATTAATTCAGTTTAAAACTGTGTTTTTAATTAAGTTTTATAAATAATATTGAAAATAATTTTGAGCTCTTTTTATATCATAAAAATCCCAATTAATTATTGGCAAATCATTTTGAAACACGAACTTAAGCATGCATTTTGAAACAATACGATTACCCATAGAATTCATTATAATTGGGTAACATTATTATAACTTAATCAGTAAAAAAGTATAAGTGGACATAGTCAGACGCTGTTAATTGTATTGTAGATTTACTAATCATTGTGCAATTTGGTTTTTCCAGTAATTAAATATAATTGATTATGATATACAGTGTAATCTCTCTGTGACAAACACATCAACATTTTTTAAATTTACTATTTTTTATAAAAAAATATTTTAAATACATTAACAGTAGTGGGTTTGATATAATAAATAAAATTTAATAAAGTTTTATAGTTCTGAACTAGGTAAAAAGAGTAAATTATAAAATTTGTAATTTTAATGTTGTTTTGATATCAAGTTTTTCAATATATTTATTCTTATTATTTATGAATATTATATTTCTATATTCATTAAAGTAATTAATAGTGAGTTACTCACAGAACAAATTTGCCCATGTTATCATGTTCAATTGATAACAATTTGATTATTTATTTCAAGTGGTATATCATTGCACCATGTAAGCGTAGCATTTGATATTTAAAAACATTTTGTCAAAAAATTATTAAATGAATTCTAAGAAATTAAACGGAATTAAATCCAATCATGTATTTCTCTGATAAACTCAAAACTGTGATAACTTAATATGCTCTACCGATTTTAATCAACCAACTTTATATACCAAATATTTAATATAAAATATGACATGAGAGGTATAATAGGATTGTAAACAGGTTGAAGATGAGTATTGTGCTTTATAAATATTTGATTTATTGGTTAGATAAATTTTAATTAAAGAATTTATGTGTTACAATACTTATTTTAAACTTTATTTTGATTAATAATACAGTTTTGATATAAAATCAATATAATTTTATTAAATGTTTTTTAATAAAACTTTATAAGTTATTGAAAGTTAATGAAAAATAAAATCAATATCATTAGAATAAAACTTAATTATTAGCATCAATACAATTATATTTTAGAAATGCCGGTCAACTCCTTGAGCACCTGAAGTGCCGCCTCGGGCTGATCTGCCGGCGCCAGATGTCCGGCCCCGCGGACTAACACAAAGCTTAGGCCATTTTCGTAGTGCTGAGCAAAACCGCCGACCCGTCCGTCTACTCTCCCGTCTTCAGTCCACTTACTATTCAAAATAAAAACACAAATTAAACACTTAATACAAGTGTACAGTATATTTGTGTAATAAATAACCAGATCATCTATACAGGTATTTAATACACATTCTGTATACAAGTTGACTGCTCACTGATATTGTCCCAGTTTTTTAGTGGCTGTAGTGGCGGCGATGCGGTCCACCCAGCGTTGACTCGTAATTATTGTTGTAATAATTATAAAATTATAAAATGTGTATTAATATACCGATTGTAATGTTACATCAGGCGCACACTCATCGTATAGGTTGTATGGATTAGAATTGTTGAGCATGATCCATTTAGCGTCAGGAACCGAGTCACATTTGCTGTACATTCAAATTAATGGATTCAATGCATGGCATTTAAGGCACGTTCAAAACTGTTATGCATACGTTTTATTGGCCGGTTTATAAAAGTTACACTCGCTTTGAACACCAGGCCTACTTTCACAGCAAGCCTCCCATTTCCTATCGTACCAATCGGTGGTCACTAATCCGTGTCCTAAAGCGTAATCTACGAACGCCTGGGTCGCCATTGGTTGGCCGTCGACCAGTCCGTTGCCAATAGCTAATCCTGGAATTAATTAATATAAGTAAGTAAGTAAGTAATTAATTTAGCAATTAATTAATTTGTTTAATAATTAATAAATTAAATATAAACAATTACCTTTCAAATTGATGTTGGACTTTCGTTGCAATATCTCGCGCGCTAACATTGGCACATAAACACCGCCATAACTCTCGCCGGTTAAATAAAACGGATTTTTCCTTAAATGCGGGAACTTTGCAAAGAAACTCTCAACAGCTAAGTAGTTGTCGTTAGCGGTGGTCGTGTCGTTATTGTGGGGCTTTAGGGTATTCTCGTCGTAACTGAAACCGGTAGAGACGGGTGACTCCATCCATACCATGTTTGCCACTTTGTTGAACGCAAAGTCGTGCAGCAATAGTGTCTTACCATCTTCGTTGGCCCGAAAGGGTCCGTTTTCCATAAACATACCGCATATAGAGCTACAGCCGGGCCCACCCGACAGCCACAGCACTACCGGTGCGTTCTGGCGGTCGGACTCGCTCTCAGTGAACCAATAGAAATGATGTCTGCCTTTCGATGCATTCAAATAACCGGAATATTGTTTAAATTTTATGGGGTCTGAGAGACCCGGCAGTGATGTTATCTCGTCCTCATTCACTGCCAATGCAATCAATACATTTAGACACAGTGTTGATAAAGTTACAACGTTCATGGTTAGTTGTGTTTTATTATACTAAAACTTTGAATTGTATATCAAGTTTTGTTGTGTTAAGAAAATACGTTACTGTGAACAACAATTAATACTATTTATTAAACTTAATTATAATCAATACTACGAATTATTGTTTATGGTACAATAGTTTGATAACATATTAAATATCATAAGTACTTTACATTTTTCTAAACGTACAGTATGTGCTACATTAATCAATATAATGTACTGTATAGTTATTTACAGTAGTATAGTAAATTTATAATCAATTATGAGGTGCTTTTACTTTGAATTACTAGTTAATTGTGTCAAGATCTAAACGTAAAGCTACTATCAACACTTATTAAAAATATCAATAGAAATGGTTTATTAAATATACCCATAATTATCATATTGGTTGCTTTCTTTGTTTAAAGTAAAGTATGATTGAAGTAGTTTGAATAATAAGTTATTATTAATAACTTGATACCTTGTGCATCTAGGTTTCTGTCATTAATAATCTAGACCAATAGCAAAGTGGATACTGTGGTGTGTAATGCTCAAAAACAATTTGCTTACTCTATTTATCTCTTTTTATCATTTATACTTCTTATCAATTCTAAGTACAACCATACCTTTTTATAATTTAATAAGAGATTACTCAATATTACAATCATGGTTTTATTTGATAAATCATTTCCTTGAAATTTTTTATAAGGAATAATTTTAGATAATAGTTTTATTTTAGATCTTATCTGTATCATACATGGGATTGTATTTCATTAACTATGACTATATTATTATTTATTAATAAAATCAATTTTATTTATTGGGATTAATTAAAATGTAGCACATATTGTACATTATACAATGTAAATCATTTGATCCATTTATCATGTTACCAAAATACTGTACCATAAGCAACAATTCTTAGTATTGATTATAATATAATTTAATCAATAATAAAAATAATTGTTTCACAGTCAGTATTTTAATATAAAAACACCAAACACACTTGAAAGTTTTAGTATAATGAACAATAACTAACCATGAACGTTATAACTTTATTAACACTGTGTCTAAATGTATTGATTGCATTGGCAGTGAATGAGGACGAGATAACATCACTGCCGGGTCTCTCAGACCCCATAAAATTCAAACAATATTCCGGTTATTTGAATGCTTCGAAAGGCAGACATCATTTCTATTGGTTCACTGAGAGTGAGTCCGACCCCCAGAACGCACCGGTAGTGCTGTGGCTGTCGGGTGGGCCCGGATGTAGCTCTATATGCGGTGCGTTCATAGAAAACGGACCCTTTCGGGCCAATGATGACGGAAAGACACTATCGCTCAATAACTTTGCGGGTAATAAAGCCGTAAATATGGTATACATGGAGTCTCCCGTCTCTACCGGGTTTAGTTACGAAGAGAATACCCTAAAGCCACACAATAACGACACGACCGCCGCTAACGACAACTATTTAGCCCTCGAGAGCTTTTTTGCAAAGTATCCGCATTTAAAGAAAAATCCGTTTTATATAACGGGCGAGAGTTATGCCGAGGTTTATATACCAATGTTAGCGCTGGAAATATTCAAACGCAAATCAACTATCAATTTAAAGGGTATATTAACTTATTAAATAGTAGTTTAATTAATTATTATACTAGTAGCTAATAATAAATTTAATTAATTTAGGAATATCTGTGGGCAATGGATTGGGCGATGATAGGTATTACCAGTCACAGGCAGATTTTTTCTTAGCACACGGTTTAGTGACCACCGATTGGTACGACAAGAAAATCTCCGCCTGTTGTGAGAGTCAGCCCGGTATTCAACACGAGTGTGACTTTAATAGAGCACCCAATAAAACGTAAGTTACCATGAGCCTTTATAGACTCATTGGAATATGCTAGTTAATAGTAAAACCATTTCGGTCATTATTTCAACAGTAAATGCGAGTCAGTTCCCAACGCAAAGATTTTGCTACGCAATCCATACAACATATACAGCGATTGTACGGTCGATACGTCCGTACGGTCGGTGTTTGACCGCCACTATAGGCCGCACTTCGAGATGCGGGGCATTGATATCGTAGTCAACGATTTGTTCAAATGAAACGCTAAGGTCAAGTGTCCAGTGAATGGTCACACGCCGTACCTCAACGTCGCGTCCGTACAACAGGCGCTGCACGTGAGGGACGCGCCGGTGAAGTGGGGCTGTTGTGACGGTCTATACGATCGGCCGCAAGACCAACCCCCACCCTCACAAGTTGGCCACATACTTGAGTTAATCCTAGAGTACAAACTTGGTCGTATTGTCGTGTACAATGGCGACCTTGATAGTTTGGGTGATGTTGTGACGGGTCAACGGTTTGTCGATGGCGTCGCCGCGTTAACGGACAGTAAAAAACTGGGAACATATCAGTCAGTAGTTAAACAGTCAAACATAGACTTCACACACATATGTAATGAGTTTTAATTTGTTTTTTATTTGTAATTATTTCAATAGCGAGTGGACTGAAGACGGGAGACTCGACGGACGGATCGGCGGTTACGCTCAGCACTACGAGAATGGGCTAAGTTTTGTGTTGGTCCGCCACGCGGGACATATGGTGCCCGGAGATCAGCCCGAAGCGGCACTCCAGGTGCTCAAGGAGTTGACCGGCATTACTAAACTATAGTTGTATTAATGCTAATAATTAAGTTATGTTAATTTTTTTAAATTTTAATAATTAAACTTTTACAGAATTTTTAAGAACTAAATAACAAATTAAACAAAATATACAGTACAATTAATTGATATAAAAATTGTTATGTTTTATTTGATTACTTATCCGTTATATTATTATTTTTATCTGGATAATTATCTTAAAATTTAATATAAAGTGAGTTTACTATCTCTGTATTGAGTTTATTATGGTCACTTTTAATTAACGTCAATCAAATGACAGTAATGTACTAATTTTTATTTTGCAATACAATTAGTTTGATAAAATTAATAAAATTGATTAAAAAACAATACTTTTAAAGTATATAAAAGTGACAATATTTAAACAAAATCATTAATTTAATAAAATAAAATAATAATAATATTTATACTAAAATGAGTAAGTATTGAATTTTACAAAAATTATAACATTTATAATTTATAATAACAAAAATAAATTGTTAAAAATCATCTAGATCGCTATCAACTATACCCATGTTGTGTGGCCATAATACTAATTATGACGGCATCAGGTGCATTGTCATCGAAAGTAAAATGCGCTGCACCAGAAAAATACAGCCCTTGTACATGTCACGATAAATATTCGACACGTGACCTACATTGTTTTGGTAATATCAGTGAACCAACTGAGCAACTTTTTAAACGCATCAGCGATGCCAGCGGTAACCAAACCCATTACGTGGTAATGCTGTTTCACTTTGACAACGTGGTTGAATTGTCTGCGCACGTATTCGGTAACTTAACATTTCAAATCCTAGACATCGAGGCCAAACAACTGCGCCGAATTCACCATGATGCGTTGGCCAGCACCATGCTCATGTCATTCTACATAGACAACACGCCCATTATAGACGCCGACAAACCTGGTTATGACCTGTTCGACGCGGTTAGGGTTGCCACCACGGTACAATATTTAAAAGTAAGGGCCACTAATTTGACCACAATCACGACGGGTGCGTTCCGATCGCATCCTAGTATAAAATTAATCGATTTGCGCGATAATCCGATCGCAACAATCGCGCCGAACGCTTTTGACAATACAACCAGGTTGTTTAATTTGATTTTGTTGAATGATCATTTACAAACGCTATCCAACCGGGCGTTCAATGTGGGCAAACGCAAGTACGGCGGTGTGGGTATACATTTAGACGGCAACAATTTGAGCAAGGTCAATCTAACAGGTGCGATGTTTGAGGGCATTAATGGTCATACCTGGCTGTATCTCTACGACAATGGCTTTCAATACCTGAATGAAACTATTTTCCGGTCATTTTTGTTGAATAATGAAAAAAATATTATTTTCTCCGACACTGAATGTAAACATAAAGGCAATGATTGGTTGCGCGAGAGTTACCCGAGAAATTGGCATGATAAAAATTGTAAATAATTATTATAATCTTATTAAATTAACAATTTATTAAATGAAAATTATTTACTTGAATTTTAACTGTATTTTATCAATATTTTTGCTTTTAATTTATTTGCATTTTTAATAACCAAAACATACAATTCAACATTTAATTTCAATTGGGAAACAGCTCTGAATAAGCTGTGTGATTTTTATACACGTGTTTTTTATTGTTATGCTAAATTCACAACTTAATTTGAAATGTTAGATTTTTGATAAAATCTCATTTGTCCAGATTCGTTTGAACATACTTAATTAACTTATGTATATATAAAATTGAGCTCTTTTTATACCATAATAATTTTAATTCATTGTTGCAAAATAATTGTGACATTTACAACTTTTATACAGCTTATCCATCGAATTCATTCTAATTGGATAACATTATTATCTTAAGTAACATCATGATAATTTAATTAGTAAAATTGTAAGCTAGCGTATTGTAAAGTACAGTTTTCTAATCAGTCTAGTCAATCTGGTTAGATAACGCAACATGGCACAATGGGTAACAATTAAACAAGGATCACACAGCGATGCTATACGTTAACCACTATTCGAGTGATTTTCAAAGAATATATAGTCTTTACATTGCGTTTAATAAGTGTATTTTGAAAATTTAATTTTTAAAGCATTGTTAACTAAATATAATTTTTCAAAATTTTTCATTGTTATTTTAATTTATTGTTTGTATTTTAAAAATCTATTATAAAGCACTAGTCCCATAGATTTATCATTGTCCATAAGATCAGAATCAACTCCATAGAGTTAACATTAATCCCATAGACTTAGCATTGTCTATGTTATCCCTATGCCATAGACTTAACATTAGTTCCATAGAATTAGCATCAGTCCCATTGAGTTAGCATTGTCCATAAACTTAACATTAGTCCATAGAATTAGCATTAGTCCCATTGAGTTAGCATTGTCCATAGACTTAGCATTACCCATGTTATCCCTATGTCATAGACTTAGCATTACCCATGTTATCCCTATGCTATAGACTTATCATTGTTCATTGATTTAGCATTGCCCATGTTATCCTTATGTCATAGACTTAAGCTGTAATCCGATAGAAACCCATGTTAAAGCATTCTCCCATAGACTTAACATTAGTCCCATAGGATTAACATGGAGAAAAACTACCCTTTCCCTTCATATTTCGCTTTCCCATAGGAAATAAGTCTCCCATAGGATTAACATTACCCATAGGATAACATTAGCCCATGTTAAGTCTATGGAAAAAGCTCCATAGGATTAACATTACCCATGTTAAAGTATAGCCATAGGATTAACATGCAATCCCATGTTAAATCCCATAGAGCGG